GCCTTCTGGAAATTTGTGTAGGAATTTTGTGTAGGAAATTTGTACACAATTTATTTGTGTAGAAGAAAAAAAAAGTACTTGCTTGAAGAAATACAGGTGTAAGTTATTCATTGGTAAAGCCAGAATGGAGCTTTATTGGCGCTTGCATTGCCATCACTACTGAAAACAAAGTGAGGAGCACAGGGAGTGAACCTCACCCACTTCCAGTGCTGGCTCTGAAAGTGAAAATTTAGAGCTAGGAAATTCCCATGTAATCTTTCTGCCTGACAAGTATCTTGCTGTTTAGCTCTTTAGCTGTCTACTTCTCTCTGTTCCTATTACAATCTCCAGTTTATTGTCACAGCGCCTTGAATAGCAGTGTCTCCTGCTGCCTGTGGAGGAGAAGCTGTGCAAGAAGGAATGCAACCTGCTGGTGAAGGTAGTGGATGAGGTCTCCCAAAGAGAAGACCATCGTCACCTTCCCTGTGTCATGAGCAGGAGGAATTAGTTACTATATGGAATTTGTGCCTCTTGCAGCATTTGTGCTACAAAATACTTTAAAATACTTAAGTAGTTAGCTATATGTCTTATCAGATATCAAATATTTTGTAGTCTATTTCAAAATTAATAAGTAGTAATATCAATAAAATACTTTGAAAGATTTTTATTATTTTAAGGTTATAATTTAAAAATAGAATCTGAAATGATTGATCAGTGATTTCAGAGCTGCTTTAGGTGTTTGTTGTTATTGCTTTTATAGTGTTGGGAGGCATATTAAAACACAGGGTAAAGAAATTACTGGGTATCAAATGATTAGTTTGTACGCATCTCTTATCCTAGCTGCAGGACCTAAAATATAAACTCTTCTCTGTGTTTTTTTTCATGGAAAATATAATTATATAATAATTATAATTATTATAATGATCGGCCAAATCTTACAGTAAGTAATTTCTCATAAAATTCCCCATACAGTTGCCTAGGCAGAGGATATCAGACTTGGCAGTACAGAGTTTGTTTGAAAAGAATGGGCCAAAAAGCCCACGGGGTCGGCGCTGTGGCCAACACCTCTAGCAGTGGCACCACATAAATGCAGAAGTGCAGCTGGCAAAGAGTTTTGGATGCATCTCTAGCTCCCACGTGTAGGACACGTGCAGCACATGGGCACAGCGGCACACGCCTGCGCATTGGACTGTTACTTACGAGTTTTCCCTGCAACTTTTGCTGGGCTCTCCCGTCTTTTTCAGGTTCACTTGGAACCATGTGCATAAGAGAGATTTAATGAAGTTAAGCAAGAATGTCTCCAGTCTGCTTAACCTTGTTCTCAAGAAGAAATGAAACCAGTCTAGAAAGTCAAACCTAGGCTGTTCAGAAGCCGGAGTTGGTATCCACCTGTGAAGTACAGCCCCTGCTTGGGGCTCTGCAGTTAAATGTCTACAATAAGGTAGAGGTCAGTCCCTATGGTGCCATGCAGCCTGGTTGGCTGTGAAGGGATGAAGACACAGAGTGGGTTCTTAGTCACATGGAATCAGGGATCTAAGAAAGACATCCTTTGAGCAAATGTTAGGATTTGGAAGAAACTTCGGCAGAGGGTCTCATGCTTTAGCATTGGTTGTTACTGAAATGTGAAATCAAGCTGAATGCAGCTTTTCTGTATAATTACTTGAGGACTCAACCCATTTTAAGCCCCTAATTTCTTGTTGAAGAGGGTCTTTAGTAGTCAGTAGGCATAGAATTAAAAAAATTTGGTGTTTCTCCCCTTCTTGTTAACTGTAACACCAGCAGAAAAGCACAGTGAGAATTTTTGAAAAGGCAGAGAAAGTTCAGGTTGTGCAAGCAAGAACTGGCACGGTCTTTAGCCTTCCTCTTGTTTTTCTTTCTTCCAAGTAGGCACTGTGAAAACAGTTGCTGTTTCCAAGAAAAATGATAAGAGAATTTTGGTGTTCATACGGCTAACTTAAAAGGAACAGTCTTTAACAATCCATATGAAAAAAAATTCAGGAACTTTTCTGAGGGTAGGGCTAACATTTTGGAGCTAACGTTACTTACTCAGATATATGCACTGGAGAGCAGAGATTATCGGGGGCTATTTCCCCCTGAAGTGCAGTGTAAGATCGTGAACGAGCAGAGAGAAGGTGTTTGGGCAGGCATGAGGATAAAAGAGAACGTCCTAGCTGGTTAGATACAGGCATCTGCCTGCTAAATGGCTTTCGTTTTGGTGTTCATATGGCTAACTTAAAAGGTACTTTCAAGTCTTTAACAATCCATATGAAAAGAAATTCAGGAACTTTTTTGAGGGGAGGGCTAACGTTTTAGAGCTAACGTTACTTACTCAGATATATGCACTGGAGAGCAGAGATTATCGGGGGCTATTTCCCCCTGAAGTGCAGTGTAAGATCGTGAACGAGCAGAGAGAAGGTGTTTGGGCAGGCATGAGGATAAAAGAGAACGTCCTAGCTGGTTAGATACAGGCATCTGCCTGCTAAATGGCTTTCTAGAATTTATCTGGCTTTTTTATTTAGGCTGTGATTAGTATTGAATCTATACCAGGACCACGATTTTATGCAATTTAGGAGAATTGTCCCTTGCAGTCTTCCTGATGGGCAGATACAAACATCAGTTCTGTTCTCTCTTGCCTAATGTTCCCTTGTCTTGGTCCTTGGGTCATGATAATAATCAACCTGCTGTGTCTTTCTGATGTACAAAATAGGCTGTTCTGAAAAATAACCTCCCCAGCTCACTCCTTCCATATCTATTAGTCTTGTTAATAAAACGAGTCTTTTATTGCTTTTCTCAAAGCAACATGCTTGTAGTTTCTCATCTTTTGCCATCATAACTAGATTCCCTCCCCTTCCCCTTATTGGTGAGAAAAGAATAGCCTCTGCATAGATAACTGGATTATAAGTTTACACCTTTCCAGGTTACACTTGATACCACACCATTCTCCCATTAGTGTCTCCTCCATTTTCCTGAATGTGTTTGTATGTCCACTTCTAGTTTGTGACTGGAGCTTTGGCACATGTAGGACTCTGCTGATTTCAGCTAGAACTCTATTCCCCTTTCCAGTAATGCAGCTCAGCTCAGATCATATATTTGATACCAGATGTCCCGAAGCCAGGCATTTCAGTGAAAGCACTGATAATGCAACAAAAGTATTTTTAGTACTATGATCTTGAACTCTCTTAGTTTCTACATTTCTTAAGTGTAGAATTCTGCTTGGGGTCTCGAAAGAGCCTGCTGTCAAGTCTCCTTTTCTTTCATAATCTCCAGGAATCCCATCTTTATGATCCAGCAAATCAGGAGAGTTATTTTATTTTCCCCAAATCTTTTTGAATGGCTTTTCCACCTTTCTCAAAAATAAAAGTTTCTGTTTCTTCACCAGTGATATTTCCCATATAAACCTGCTCCCTTTTCTCAAGGTCTTCTGTGTGCTTCTGTCTTCTTCTTTCGAGTCCAAGTGTTACATTTCCTATTTTTTTTTCTCTCCTGTATCTTTAGACATCTGATTTAGTCTGTCCCCTCTTCTCTTGCTACCTCAGATTCTTCCCTCTTTTTGTTTATTGGAAAAGCACCTTTCAGCTGGATAACCGATTCATTTCCAAAGCTTGTTTCCTCTCCTGGCTTCCCAATCTTGGCTTAGGTTTGGTAAACCTCTTAGGCGAATGTTATATTTAATTCCTATTTAAGGTAGAATGTAAACACATGTATAAGTGTGATCTTGAAAGCATCTGGGAATGCTTTCCATAACTGAGGCTTTTATTATATAACAAGCAAGTTTAATTCCCCAAATCTCCTCCGTCTCTGTACTACTGCTGTGACCATCTGGGAGAGTTGCCCCTGCTGCTGAAAAAGCAGGGAGGAGCTTGTGGGTTTTTCGTTTGCTTGTTTTGTTTTTATTTTATCCTGACCCTCATGCTGTTGGAATTGCATGGGATGGCTACGATTGTGTCCAAAGCTGCTCAGTGATGCAGCTGCTGCTGTAAACAAAACAAGCTCCACTACTTTATTTGTGTACATTTGTAGAATAACAGAACTCCAAATGCAGAATTGCTGTTATTAATGGTTTTGTTAGCTGTTTTTTTTTCCTTAAAAGGCATAGGTCACATGTGCTTCTGGTGAAGTGTTTTATTTTTAGGTCGTAACATATGTGAATTTTTCCTATGTGGTTAGGTCTTAACATATGTGGATTCCTTTTCAAAGAATTCATCTCAATGTCTCAGCACATCTTTTTGAAAATCTCAGACTACTGTATTTTGTCAAATAGTGGGAATGTTTTTTCACCATAATTTTCTGCATCTCTAGTATTTCTAGATTTTTTTTCATGAGCTGTTGCCGTTTCACATGCAGATTTTCTTTATAATTGTTGTTAAAACTAAACCCAACAGATGGCTTTTAGTATAGATTGGCAGACAAACTAAACTATTCTTATTTCATCTCTATCATAGGGAAGGATTGTGTAATTTATGATGAGTGCATGTTATTTTATTGCTGAATGCTCAGTGTCTTTTCTTGCTTAAATAATTTCATTGTGTTTCACAAGTCTTTCACTGCAGCTCTTTCTGTTTGTTTTTAAAAAAATGGCTTTTATTTTGCAGTTATTTGCCTTCCGGTTATTGAAAACAAAACATTACTCCGCATATGAGACGGTTTCGTAAGAGAAACTTATCTTTTGGCATAAAGTCGTGTGTCATTTTTAGATTATAGCTCAGTTTGTGAGAGAACTGATCACATTATTGGATCTGCAAGTGTTGTGGGTTTTTTTGCGATATTTCTGCGCAGTGAGTCATAATAATTACACCATTATTTTGGTGGGGTTTCTACTAATAAAATACTCCTGGATGTATTCTGCCTACCCTGTTATTTAGATTAGACTTTAAAACTGCTTTAAATAAAACTTGTCACCTGTTTGTAAACTGCAGGCTGAATCCCCAGCAGTTGTGCATTGGCTCCCTTGTCATTCTCAACCCTTTTGCCTCTCTCTCCTTATTTTCAGAAACAGCTGAGAGTTGAAGTAGAACCTTTAGTAAACCAGTGAGAGGAAGTGTAGATTTTTGCTGGAAAGAAGGTTTAGTGAATGCCAAGAAACTATGTGTCTTAGCGGGCGAGTCTGTGGGAAGGAGTGAGGGCTCACGTGCTTTTTCTTCCTCCCCTGTTTACAGCTGCTCGGGTACTTTCCATCCCTTGCATCAGCTCTGCAGCTCGTCACACCTCTTCACAAGGGACTTTAGTTAATTAATGTTTTAACTTAATGCAGCAAAAACATGGTTTTAAGAAACCCTCCATGTGCGTTTTGATGAGTGCTGGTGCTGACACCAAGAGTACTTTGATGAGTGTTAATCCTGACACCAAGAGTATTTTGATGAGCGCTAGTGGTGACACAAGGGAGGTGGCAATGCTCGCTGCTGAGGGAGCACTGGTAGTGCCCAGGGGAGCCTGACCCTTGTAAGCAGTTGTGCCATAGACAGTCCTATTCAGTTCTGTTGCCTGCAATAAAATATAACTAAAAAAAAAAAATCCAGTCTCCATTTATTCCTGGACAGCCTATGTCCATTTGTGTGTGTCAATATTTTCTATATCTTAATAAGGAATCTTGGCACCTTGGCACATAACCTGGTGTGTTCAGACCCTCTCCCAGCTTTAGTTCTGCCAGACTTTGGGGGCTTTCCATTGCCAGACTGCCCAGGAAGCCTCTCCTTGCCTATGGCCAGCTGGGCTTGGAGCAGAGCTGTCCAGCACCTGCACACGCTATGCGGAAAGAGCTCTCCCTTGGACAGTGCTATTAATCTTACTGTAGTTTGACTAAACATAAATCTTGTTTGATAGATTCTGGGATGACAGTTATATTTTTCAGGAAGATGCACTATTGATCTGAAAAAAACATTTTGTCAGAGATGAGTAGAATCAGGTTTCTTTTCTTTACATAATAGTCACTCCAAAAACATAAGAGAAATTCCCCTTAGCCTTTAAGTGCATAAATAAGCTATTTGTACAATTCAATTTTATCCTCTTTCTAACATCCAGTATGAAGATCATCCAGCTTTTTCCTATGGGAGTTCTTTCAATCCTCTTCTGTATTTCCAGCTTAGCCTTATCAGTGTATTTCATTAGACTGCTGTTATGTTTTTGTGTTTGGATTATTAATGTAAATACCAAATTAGGCAGTTTGTAAGGCTGATGGGACTGGCTCTACACTATCAGTGCTGCTGTACCCTGGATTCACTCTAGGCAATCACCAATGAGAATACTGTCAAAAAAGAGAGTCTATTTTGCTGATGCCAAAGTTCAGGAGGCAAAGAGCGAGCTGTATCCCACACTGAGGAGTCAGCTGCCACCAACACGGCTGCCTCTCCTGCTGATCCGGGCAGCAAGGACACCATGGCAAAGCCCCAGGCACTGTGGTCTTCCTGCACGTTCAATCTCTGGTTAATAACACTTGCTTGTCTGGCTTGGGAGGTTATGGTAGAGCTCTGGTTTGGTGTGAGGTATCTTGGTAAGTGTGGAGTCCGTTTTATCTGTTTATATTTGTCTCAGGTCTAATTATTTTCTTTAGCATTTGCTCCAAAATCCTGGGTGCTTTTGAGTCATGGCTTTGTTGCCCAGATCGTTTCCTTCTGATATTGTAAAAGCCGCAGGGTTCTTGGGAAGTGCGAGGGTGAGTTTAGTTACCACAGTCGGTGCCACCCCTACCAGGAGAGCCCATGGCCAGCGGGTCACCCTGAGCGCGGAGCGCCGCCCGCTGCACAGCCTTGGGCCTGTGGTGCTGCGCGGCCGCGGGCCTGTGGTGCTGTGCAACTCCCACGGACGGCGCCTCTGTCTCCCCGTCGGCGTGGTCCTGAACTCATTTTTAGGCCATATGTGGTTATTCTAATGTCACCTCATTATTGTAGCCTTATGCTCTTCCCAGCCTGCTGGAGGGCCTTTCCATTGAGATGCAGCAGCGGCTCTTAACTGCTTTCTCACCCTACCAGTTAAAAAAAAAAAAATAGGCTTACTTGATTTCCTTATTGTTCTCTTCTAACACAAATGAGAAATTTCTTGAATTAAAGCCATTATCAATGTCTCTCTTTGAGCCTTCTGTAAGGAAAATACCAGTTTTCCCTGTCTCGTCTTTTGGTACCTAAAAATCCAGTTTATCCCATGTGCAGTGTAAACTCCACTGGAACTAGGTGTTTCACTCATTTTTATGAACATTTTAGGAAAAGTATCCTGCGGTTTTTGCCCTTTTCAAATGTTAATGTTTAATCAGTGCTTGCTGAGAGTGCAAGAACACACGCACTAAGCTTATCATTCTTTTTTCTTGCAGTGATCTGCTGTCTTCTGAGTATCTTGAGAGGCATATCGAGCAAGGTGGAAAGACAGTGGAAGTTAAAGTAAGAATTTTCTTTTTCTGCTTTGCCTTACATTTTTCTCTGTTTTGCTTTTGATGTTAATGCAAACACCTTTATTTTCTTAAAAAGAGAGAAATCTGATTTTTCAGGTGATTTGTTTTCCTCTTTTGAGGAAAGCATGTTTGCAGCTTTTTAAATACCATGGCACAGACATTACTGACAAATTAACTGCGTTAGTTTTTATGTCAGAATGGTATTCCTGAAAATTTGTGGCAGTCCTTTTAACAGATAAATAAAATTTACTTTTGATACCTATTGAAGAAAATCTTTCTATTTTTGTTGCTAGCTTTTTTCCATCTTACAAAAAAGCAAGTCATAAGTGATAATGGCAAGACTTCCATATTTTATAGGTCGCCATTTGTAATCGTGGGTTTCTTTCTCTGAAGATTTGTTGATGTGATGGCCACAATATGCTTTCTACAATATATCTGTTAAGAAACATCGTATGGCCTTTATATGAGTGCTTTTGGAAGCTATAGAGCATGGAAGAATTTCCCTGGGGACCTTGTGTTTGCTATGATAATATTGTGCGGAAGTCAGATTTAAAATTAATGTAGATTATACGAAGCATGCAAGAGTATAATATATGCTGTGCATAACTGAAGCTCCTTAAAGGGGAAAAGCAGGTGAAATTTTGTTCAAGATTTACATTTTATTTTAAAAAAGTATTTTGTTAAATCTGATATTGCCTAAATATCCTGAAACAAATGCATTAACCTCTACAGGAACATGAAAGCAAAAGTGGAAATGGAGAAAGCAATTTTGCATCCACTGAGTACCTGAAGATGTTTCCTAGAGTATGCAAGCTTGAAATCTGCTTTTTTGCTCTCTGATAGCAATCCGAATACATTATCAGATTGAAACGCCTATATGTTCCATTAAATTGTGAAGAATAATTTCCCAATCAGTTATGTTCTGCAGTGAAGAAACCTTGACTCAAATTCAGAACATGAGTCAAAGCAGAAATAAAGATAATGGCTGATAATAAGAAGAACAAAACAAACCATTTCTCTGTGTCAAGGAGTATATGCATGTTAATGAAGTTAAACATCCTGAGCCTCATTACTGAATTAGGACAAATATGGTTTTGATGAATAAGCTTTTTTTCTTGTAAGTAGATGTTTGAAATCAGTGACACTTCTAAGTAATGTCTAGTTGCGTGGGGAAGCGATGGCCGAATCAGACTTTTAAGAGAAAGGATCTGAAAATGTTTTTTGGGCAAAGCGCCCCCCAGTTGTTCGGATCACAGAGCTCATCTCCCATTCATGCAGCAGCCGTGCAGAATCTTAGGGTAACCTCTGTGGTTGCTTTCAGCAGCTAACTTGGTGCTATCAACTCTTCTTTAAGTAAAGCGGTGGCATTCCTTAGTGATCTTGGCTCACGAGAGGGACTGAACTGTGACAAAAGGGTCACTCTTGCTTCATCCTGTTCAGCAAAAAACAGGTATTTTCTTTCCCTTTAGTGATGTGCTTGCTGCTGCTTCAGGCTCCTGCGCTCCTGGGAGAGCTCGGTGCGGAGCAGTCCTGCATAAGTGGATGAGCGAGGGGAATAATCTGTTTTTCGCTTGCTTTGCAGCAGCTGAGCATCTGAAACTGGAGGAAATTAAATGTCAAAATGTCCAAAAGAATTTAATGGCCACACTTACTGCCCAGTTTTCAGAAAAGCACAGGTATCAAAAGATTTTTTTGAAGAGTTCAGGCTGTGGAGTACCTTGGCAAGCATCAAGTGAGGCTAATTTCAATACCCAATAGCTTGATAGCTATTAAGGCTTCTGTGATTCTATGATAGAAAATCCAGCTCCGTGTGACCGGCCAGTTTGCAGAGCACAAGTAAGTGCTCTGAAGAGCCCTACTGGTCTGTGAAGCTGTTTTTGAAAAGTATCTGAGGCTGAGCAGTATCTGTTTTGCATTTGAGAAACTGAACTCTGGTTTTAGTTCAAATGATTTTGAAAATCTTCTTGCAAAAAAAAAAAAAAAATCACACAATCACAGAATGGTTGAGGTTGGAAGGATCTCTGGAGATCATCTAGTGCAACTCCAGCACTCCCTGCTCCAGCAGGGACACCTAGAGCACGTGGCACACGATGGCATCCAGGTGGGTTTGGAAGATCTCCAGAGAAGGAGACTCCACAACCTCTCTGGGCAGCCTGTTCCAGGGCTCTGTCATGATGATGATTTAGTACCTTCAATTTTTATGCTGTTTTATAGTAACCAGTAAAACCACTCTTAAATTGGTGCTTATTATGCACTCCAGGCAAAACAGGAATGATGATAATAAATCCTAGAAATTGTGTAGATTGCTTATGTACATGCTTATTTAAAAATAGTGAAAGGGTGAAATTTTTAAGTAGATCTCAAAAAAAGACCCTCTGATATGCAGCCTGTTCCTCAGTAGGTGCAGGATGAGCAGGATTTCAGTAGGAGTCAGTCTTGTATCACTTGCTTCAACAAGCTGCTCTGCCCTTATCCGTGGGGTTTTTGTTTCGCTATAGGCAGGGATGGAGGAGGCCGACCATCCCTCTTTCTTCTTTGGTGAGAGAAAGGATGACAGAAAAACCACAAAGGATGACAGAAAAGCTTGTCTGCCACCCACTCCCGACTGCGGGCTTTGAACGAGCCTTTTGGACTGCAAAGATGGCAAAAGGGCCTTTTGTTGTCTTTGGCCTCCCTAGCGAGGAGGGGTGTGCTATAAAATACATCTCTTTTTTCCTCATTGCCTCTCTCAGTGCTGCCGTAGTGCACAAATGCTCCAGAAGCCAGTGCTGCTGTTGTGCCACCAGCGTTATGGGAGAAGGCAGGAGCTTGAGCCGCGCGGGGAATGCAGCTGTACGTCCACTGGGTGCGTTGGGAATGCTGCTAGTGCAGATGTGTCCGGGGAGCAGATGCCTCCCTGGCTCATATGCACTGCAGAGTTGATAAGAGCTACTTTTAATGTCCTGCTCCCTCGCAGGCCCCCCTAGTAAAACTTCCTGTTCTGCACAATATACAGAGCCTCTGCCATTAGCCAGGATGTTATGGAGTGGAGAAGGCGGGGGCAGGGAGAGGAAGAAGGGTATATTTTAAAATCCTACATTTCAGAAGCAAAGGAATTTTTGTAGAGAAGTTCTCTGTTTATCATGTCTTTTTATTAGAAGAGAAAATTGAATTTAATTGCTTCATGATTCATTAATACTTCAGATTGCTGTGAAGGCAGAACATGTTTATGGCCCATTTTTGCAGAGTGAGTATTTAGCTGTTGCAGAAGAGGGGCCAGGGTGTCTTTCTGGGAGGTGTTTTTGGTGATTGACGCGTTTAGGCAGCACCTAAGACACACTGATTAAATCAGCCACAATACGCAATACTGAAGAAAAAGGAATTAACTGTTTGAATTATTTCTGTGTTTTACTCTTCCACCTTTTGCTTTAAATCATGTCTCCAGCTGCTTAGGGAAAGCAGCAATTGTCCCAAATTCCCTTGGGAAGCAAAGAGAATAATCAATTAACAAGAAAGAGAAAAGCCCTTCATGCACTGCCTTTTCCTGATTGTGTCAGTTGAGATCATCCTATGCTCACAGCACAGAAATACTCAACTTGTGTACACTTTATGTTGATGCAGTATATCTCTGTGTCCTTTTATCTCTCTTTTTTATTATTTTTTAAAGGTTTTCAGTCTGTCACTGATGCTGTCAGTGAGATGAAAGGCAGAAAAACAGTCATAGTGCTGAGGAGTTCACATTGCTGGATTTTTTTCTTCCTAAAAAAGAACAACTGATACCTGTTCAGTGGTATCTTCCCTCATAAAGTGTTTCATTTTTCCTTCTTTTGAGAGTAGAGGAATTTTATTCTTTTTTTAAATTTTTTTTCTTTTTTTTCATTCCCCAAGAACATTGGGCAATTCTATAAGAGCTTCTAGAAAATTGTGTTCTGAAACAATTAAGCAATTCAATAGCCAGTCAGAGGGCTTACACCGGTAGGGTTATGGGAGGTAACTGTACCCCCCACCTTCCCATTTTGGGGATGATGGAGGAGTTGGGGGACATGCATTTTAATCTGTCACATCCATGAGAGTGCTCAGCTTCTGGAAGCAGTCACCCTTTCCTTTCATTCCATGTATCGTTTGGCTGGTAGCAAGCAGGTGTTGCCTGCTATTGTAACTATTTTAATGCCTATGCACAAGAAGGGAAAATTACTGCTGTTCAGTGCTGTGCTGTGATCAAAATCTCAGCTTCACTGTTGTCAATGACTTATTTTTGAAGGGGTCTTTAAATGTCCCTCTTAAGGAGAATAATATAGCAGGGAGCAAAATATTAAGGATTAAGGATAAAGGTGGCTGGGGGCACTCGAGAGCCCAGTGCATGATAATCCCATGTTTTGCCTATTCTGTCAACCCCCTTGCTTGAAGCCTAGCCTGCTTTAGGACTCATACAGTCTATTAGCTGAGATCTGCTGCTGTACCTGTTTCAGGAGACCTTTTTGCATTCGTGATATGCGTGGAGCATTCAGGCAGTTTTCACTGCCTCCTCCCAGACACTGACCAGGCTTAATGACACAGGAATTTGGGATGCAGCAAAGATAGACTCCTGCTCAATGAGCTCCTCATTTTATTGTCAAGTGCTGTATTGCAAGTTTGATGAAGTTACTCCCTGAGCTGTATCTTTTCTATTCAGAAATTATTCTGATCGTTTCTCTTTGGCCTTTGATAACTCACAGTTTCACAAGCAAAGGGGAAGGAGTTTCAACTTGTCAGAAAAGCTTGTGTGCTATGTGTGCTTTCCTGATAGGAATGATATATTTTTCCTGAGACTTGTATGATGTGGAGTTGGTAGGAATTGATACGTTTTTCCTGAGACTTGTATGATGTGGAGTGGTGTGCAGAGGTGTGGGATGGGAGGTATGAGCGTATGTTGGTAAAGAAGCTGTTTGTGATGATACCCCTGAGGTTGCACAACCTAGTGCACAAGCTGGAGGAAAAATGAAAGTAAAAAGTAACTAATTATAAATAATG